TCCCTATCTAAGTTGACAGATGCTGCCTTATATCGTTTGGCATCGCACTAGGTGACGCTTTGTAATGTAATGATCGCTCCTTGGATAGTTTGTTCTTAGTGATGGGGAATAATATTTCTCTTCTTCTCCTGTTTCTTTCCTTAGACTTATGATAGCACTAGGCCTCTGCCTACATTACCGATAGTACAAGACCTGTGTCTTCTATCGAGAATGCCTATAGTAAGCTTTCTCTAACTCTTCTTCGTGAAGAGCTTTCCTTGGCGTAACCATAACGTTGAAATAAAGATAAAGATCGTAAAGGTATTTTATATTCGTTAAAGTAATAAGTAGGAAAAGTACTTAGAATTCAATCTAATTTGATTTAAACTCGTACTGCCAATACTAGCATACGATGAACCCCCACCGGCATAGGAATACCGCTAACCAGTATACCACTAATCCTAAGCTAACCAGGTCTACGGCCCCGTACCTGCCATCCTCGAGTCATGCCTGCACGAGAACTAATTACGAGACCATCAAACAACCAAGCATCCGCTCCAGTCCAAGTTCATAGCCACTCTGGTATGAAGCCAACCAGCACTAAGCGTAGCTGAAGCCAAGCAAAAGACCGACACGACCTGGTTCCTTGTCCAACCAACATAAAACCACTACCACCCGGTCTGAACAACCGTCCCGCAAAACCTCCACCACAGTAGAAAACCAACACACAAATTAAACCTACAGGTGGCATAATGGCAGGGAGGAGGCAACCAACATGTCCACCTCTCGCACCCACCTGCCAGGCCATCGACCCTATGAACTCACTTTGCCGGTTACCTCCAAAGAGCATACCAGCGAGGAGGACCTGTACCTGCTGCCTGTTCCCCAAAAAAAAACATCATAAACATAGGAAATACATAGAGGTAGTGACAGACCAAAACAGTCAGTGGGGCCTATCTCCCACCCATGGTCCTATGCCTCCTCCTGCCAGACCCATAGCCAAACCAAAGAAACCAAACAAACCCCAAAAAACCCAGCGCACAAGATCCAAACAAGTCTAACCTGGAGGTCGCAACCCACTATTCGCACAGGTGGCCATCAGCCAGCCAGTCTTTCAGGGAGCTTTGCAGCACTCAGCAGCTTTACCCAACAGCCCAGGCCAGACTGGAAACACTTAATTAGACCTCGCCCAACCTGATGCAAGCCTGACCGGTGCTCGCAGGTGCCTCTCCCCCCCCAATCAGCCCCCGCCAAGCCCCACACGCCAGACGCCACAGAGTCCATCCAGCCCCTCAGCCACTCAGACAGATCAACCATCCGATAGCCACTGGATAGCCTCTACATAGCCCTACCAGGCAGCCACTGGTGTTGACTACGCTAACAGAGTCCCATCACCCAACATTGTATAGCCAAGGAGGACCCACCAGCTACAGCCGTGAGTCAGAAAGAAGGCAGCACCAACACCCGAAGGTTCGAGCACCAGCCACACCATCTAACACAGCCGAACCGAAGTCCAACCGAGCTGGGAGAAAGTAAGCAGAGCTAACTGAAGGCAGCCTCAGAGGTCTGGCCACAGGCACAGACCGAACAACAGGCAACAGGCACCCCCAACCGACGTGACGTGAAGGGGGAGGGCACACGAACTGGAGTAGACAAACAGAAGGTAGGCCCCACTTGTAATGGGTTAAGCCGCCAACCACAATCCCCAACCGAACCACCCCAACACACAGACAACGCAAGTGTCT